AAACAGGAAGAGCACTAGTACCTGAGAGAGTCAGATCCTAAAGCCAGGGGATCCTAGGAGGAGATAAGCCTGGGCAGAAGGCTTTGCTGGGGAGGGTTCACGTATTATTTTTAATTATATTTTTGTTAATAACTGAGACCCTGGGAAGGTCTTTTTTGACTCTGCGAGCCTGCGGTTTTGTTTGGAACAGGGCAAGGACTCCACCTACATACAAGCTGGAGAAGACATCAACCTCAGCCTACACCTTTGCAAGCCAGTGGCTCACTCCTTCACAAACCAGACTTCGTTGCGTCGCCAGTACGGTTTCATGGGGGGGTCGTAGCCATTACACAAGTAGAAGTCCTTGCGGTAGGCTGCCTCGCTCCCCAGGGCAGAGCGCAGCTTGGCGGCATAATTCACATAATCCTCTTCCTTGGCATAACCACCAAACTGCCTGCAAAGGAGCCAAACATGAAGACACTGAGTGAGACAACCCTGAAATATGGTGACAAAAGGGGAAAGAGGGAACAAGATGCTAAAAGTACATAGTGATGTAGATCCGTGCTGTGGCTTTTCCCTGAGCTATCCGGTCTGAATCTAGTGCAGGCAAAAAGTGTTGGCTTGAGAGACCCCGAGACTAGACAGCTTTAGTCATCCACAGATATATAAAGCATGGGCATCACCTGTATTAGCCCCCCACGTCCTGCCCTACATCTCAACCCCAAGCTGAAGGGACAGCTTCTTGTAGTGAAGGGATAGGTATCTCCAAGCCCATTCAATTCTTGGCCTTTGTGCTGAGCCTGTCAACACAGATGTTAATTGTGGGATGAACTCTTGCCTGCTGGAACCTGAACTATGAGAGGAAGCCAAACTCTAGCTAGTTCAAGTAAGAGAGGGATAAAAAACAACAAAGGGCTGCTACTGATTCCTGCAGGAACAACCAACAGCATGCAGCTCATCTTTGTTGACAATACAGCCTGTCCCCATGGAGGCAACCAAACACAAAAGCTGGATTGTGGCAGCATTCAGACACACCGCAGGAGCTCGCAGACTGCAAAGGGAAAGGCCAGGCCAGATAGAAACATCTCACCAAGGGGGAATGGATTTGAATCCAGCATAAGTGTGTATAGCAACCAAACAAAATACCCAATGGCTGTTCAATCCTGAATGACAATTGATGGTTTGATTCTAGTTTCTAGAGGACACGTGTCCACATTACCACGTGGCACTAACTGACCCCTGAGTTAGACAGCTGGTGGGCCGTGACCACTATTTATCTATCTGTTCCTAACTCTCTCATTGTTACTGGCATACCCTCTTATGGTCTACGGCCAACAACTGTATCATCAATAATTTCAACAGAAATCTGCTGAGGGACCTCCAGACTGATATGAGAGACAGAGGAGTATTCTGCTCATTGAAAACTAACAACCACAAAGGAAACGTTAGAGGAGAAAACCCGAATGTATTTATTTTTACATCATATTTTATTCCTTTGTGCCTATTTCCAGCCCCTTCCTCCCTAAAAGAGTGGCAGCCCGATCACAGCAGCTGAACAAAACAGTGGTTTTCCTTGGCACAACAGTGACCAGAGCCGGCTCCAGGCACCAGCTAAGGAAGCAGGTGCTTGGGGCGGCCAATACAAAGGGGCGGCATGTCTGGGTCTTCGGCGGGAATTCGGTGGCGTGTCCCTCAGTCCCTCTCTTCCTCTCTGAGCTGCCACCGACGTACCGCCGAAGAGGAAGGGAGAGAGTGAAGGACCCATCGCAAAACTGCTGCTGAAGAATGGAGCTGCTCGATTGAGCTGCCGGCAATCGGCTTTTTTTTTTTTGCTGCTTGGGGTGGCAGAAAACCTGGAGCTGGCCCTGACAGTGACACCCCAGTGGCCAGTTAGGCCGACAGAGTGTTATTTCCTAGGGAGTTCACAACCCAGTTTCTTAGCTGAAAGTGGCAGTTGGAATTCATTCAGGTTCTCTCTCTTCAGTTTGCAGGAGCTGCCTTACAGGAAGTGACGAGGAACCTATTCTCAAAACGTTTGCTTTTGTTAGCAACAGGTTTAGGACCCTGGCACAACCGAGGTAGTGCCTGAAAGTTGTTCTTATCTGAAAGCAATTTACTGACTTAGGTTAAAAAAGTTGCTGATCTCAGTCCAGTTCCTAATAGGCAGGTATTCACTCCTCCCATATTCACACAAATTGTCACCACTATTGCACTAATATGCCACTTTAAGAGCATAAGAGCTGCCAGACTGGATCAGACCAGTGACCCATCTAGCCCGGTATCCTGTTTCCAACAGTGTCAGTACACAGCTTCAGGTGGGGTGTACAGAACAGGGCAATTTGGGAGAAATCCACCCCCCAGCTTCCTCTCCTGGCTTTTGGCAGTCAGAAGTATAGGGTTGCCCTGAGCATGGAGCTCATAGACTCAGAGTTTAAGGTAAGAAGGGACAATCGTGATCTCTAGTCTTGCATCCCTGACCTTCTTGGCTAATAGGTTAATCAGTGGCTATCCTCCAAGTACTGATCTAATTCTTTTTTGAACCCAGTTACGCTTTTGGCCATTACGACATCCCCTGGCAATAAGTTCCACAGGTTAATTGTGCATCACGTGAAAAAGTACTTCCTCTTGTTTGTATTGAGCCTGCTGTTGCCCATTAAGTTCATCTGGTGGCTTCTGGTTTTTGTATTGTGGGCAAGGGCAAATAACTTTGCTATTCACTTTTTCCACACCATTCATGATTTTATAGACCTCTATCATGCTCTCCCTAATCATCTCTTCGCTAAGCTGAACAGTCCCACTCTTTTTAGTCTCTCCTTGTATGGAAACTATTCCATACCCTTGATCATCTTTATTGCCTTTCTCTACATCTTTTCCAGTGCCACAATATCCTCTCTGAGATGGGGCAACCAGAACTGCACACAGTATTCAAGGTGTGGGCTCACCATGGATTTAGTGGCATCATGATATTTTCTGTCTAATTTTCTATCCCTTTTCTAATAGTTCCTAACATTGTTAGCCTTTTTGACTGATGATGCGCATTGAACTAAAGTTTTCACTATCCATGACGACTCCAAAAATCTCTTTCTTGAGTAGTAACAGCTAATTTAGACCCCATTATATATGTGTAGTTGGAATTATTTTTTCTAATGTATGTTACTTTGCACTCATCTATGTTGCATTTCATCTGCCATTCTGTGGCCCTGTCACTTAGTTTTGTGAAATCGCTTCGTAACTTTTCACAGTCAACTTTGGATTTAACTATCTTGATTGATTTCGTATCACCTCCAAACTTTGCCACTTGACTGTTCACTCCCTTTGTTGTCAGTCTCATCCCCTCTTCAATGGTGTGAAAAAGAAATCTGCACTGCTAGTGTCCACGTTACATACCGAGACCACTCTCATCTCCAGGATTGCAAGCTGCCGTCTTTCATAGACACTACATTTGCTTCCAAAGTTAAAAGAATTCTGTTTACTTTCTGCTGAAACATGAACAACATTAAGGGGGAAGCATTTTTGTTCAGTGGAGTAGGCTCCCTCAATCTTCCACTATTTGCACACACATCTATAACCAGTGATGAGTCAGCTGGCAAACATAACTGTATTCTTTAGAGCACCCTGTTCTTTAGGGCATCCAAACCGCAACACTTTCCAGCTGCCTGGGAATACTGAGATCTGCCCCTTACGTGGAGTAAATGGTCATTCCTTCTCGCTCTTCAATCTGAATGCTCTCATCACCAGGACGGGGAGGGTTGTCCTGATATTGGCTCGGAATCCGCAGTGAGACTTTCACTTTCTGCTGTAAGGAGCCGTCCTCATCAGGAAAGGCAGTGATGGAAACTGGCGCAGTCATGCCCATCCCAACCTCTAAGACAGATACAGACAGAGGTATTACAAGCGGAGTCCAGGCCCTTGAAAAACTAAGCATTAGGGGACAGATTTTCAGAGGTGCTGAACATTCACAACTCGGAGTGAAATCAATGGGAGGTGCCAGGGCTCAACACCTCTGAAAATCAAACCCTAGCACACAGGAGTTTCAATAAAGAGACAGACCAACGACCGATCTGGGCCAGGATCCTGTGTCCTTCAGTAGCCAGTGCCAGATGCTTTATGGATAGTTTAATCAGTGTAGGCCCTGAAGCAGAAGGCCTCAGCTGGGGCAGAACAAAACACTCCCTGCGGGAGCCAATGACTCAGAACTCTGAGCTGTTCTAGCTCCAGCCCCCAGGACTGTGTGTGATCCCACCCCAACATGGTAAGCTATTAATTTGTTGTCCTCGGAAGGTATATCCAGCAAGTTATGACTATAACTCGCACTGGAGATGATTGTTTTTCCTTCTCTCCAGGCTGTCACCGGTTGTGAAACCTCAATCACTCAAAGAGAAATGTAGCAGAATAACAACAACGATCTAGCTGTCATATAGCGCTTTTCCTCAGTAGATCTCCAAAGTCAGGGTCATTATCCCCATTTTACAGACAGGGACGCTGGGGCACAGAGAGGTCACAGAGAAGTGACTTACCCAAGGTCATGCAGCAGGCCGGTGGCCAAGCTAGGGCTAGACCCCAGCTCTCCTGAGTCCCAGTCCAGGGCTCTGTCCTGAAAGTGCTCTCTTACCTACTCATACACTTAGGTGCAGTACTTCTCATCTCAGTGCTATGGATTATGGCTAGAGGTACCTTCCCTCATCACCACATTTACTGACTAACTGTGCTGCTGCAATTGCTGTTCTTTCCAGAACTGCAACCTGCTCCCTCTTCCATTCATTCCCCCTCTTCCTGCCACGTGCTACTGGAGTCTGGATACCTGCCTTCCTCAGACATCTGGGAAAGATGCAAAAGCAGTTGTAGGTGACTTATAATTACGCTGTGACCCTCCCCCCACACCCTTGTTGTGGGATATTATTGAAGCACCTTGCTTAATAAGATGAGAATTGGAAATTCATGTAAGTACTTATGTAAAGCAAGTTTATTATTTACTACACTTTATTATTAATTAGACTAGCCTGTGCAATTACACTAGCTAAGATAAAAGCTACAAAGGTAATCTCTGCCATCACCACATAAAAGGGTGGGTCCCCTGCACATACAGCGAGTTAAGACACAAAAACCACACACCATATGCATACATGTTGGGAGTTCCCCTAAGAAGCCACTTAGAATGTCCTTTAGAAAATACAATTACAAATCCTTCTCAGAGACAGACAAGATGAAACTAGCAGTTGAACAAAGGAGGTCTGCAAAGTTTCTGACCCTTATCATTGGTTCCTCCCACGTATTTCAGAAGCTTCAGCACCGCTTCCTTGGAGGCCTCATCAAATTGTTTCCCAGCTACCTCCACCGTAGCAAATTTCCCACCTTCACATGTCCTTTCTTCATAGGTTACTTCTTCCTGGAAAAAGAACACAGGCAGATAACACATCCACCTGAGAGATTCAATGCTCCTCATGCCAAGGAAATTGCCTCCCTGGGGGAAATTAGATCCTAGGAACATACACTGCCCCCTACCTCTCTCCACATAACCCTCCCATGTAAAGACCAGTTTCAATGTTAAGTGGAGAGACTGACCATGGAGTTGTCAGTCTCTCTCCTGAGTGGAAGAAGCATTTCCTGCCTCTCCCCTGATGGCCTACGTTAGCAGCATGCAACAAACAGCTCTGATGTCATCATACCTTTGCAGCAGAGCAGATCTCAATATGGGGTTAACCACCGTTTGTGGTACCAATGATGACCGGGGCAGAGGGAAAAAAATGGGAGATAAAACAGGACAACTGTAACCTAGACTTGAAAGGCCTGGGTGAACTAAACACTCTAGGTCACCTTGCTCCCTTTGGAGCTGCCCTGCAGGTGAAGGCTCCCCTATCTACCCTGCATCCCTGGGAAGCACCATCATCATAGAAAAATGCAGATCAAACCAGTTACACACAGCAGCAAGCCCTAGCAGATCACATCAGAGTTCTTCTGCAACAAGGAGCAAGTTGGATTCTGAACAAGGAAAGACCTGAGCAGACCAGTTACTTTCACGTTACTATCCACTGAGGACTCAACGCCCTGCTGATTCTCTGGTGTGCATAGATAGTAAGGGAGGAGTGGTAGAACTTGATAGGCACAGCGTGTGTATGCATGAGTGCACGCATGTGTTTTGGGGGTGGAGAGAACAGGTAAAACCAGAACATTCTCTCTCTGCATGGACAGAATTCACAGCAATGGATATCGGCCAGAAAGAGGGCCACAATGCAAGGCCATCGTTTCTCAGCGTTTGCTGCATTAGCTCAATCCTCTGAAGCCCTCTGTTTGACAAGAGTGCTGTGTGCACCCCGTGCGGAGATAAGGCAGGCAGACAGGCCACCGCGCCCAGAACACTGGATGCAGGCGCTGTCTGCAACTTGGCCAGTTGTGCAATGGCAGTGACATAATTCCTTTAAAACGGAAGGAGAAATAAGTCACCGCCTGGAAGTCTGTGCAGGGTGATTGGTGACAGGCTGCACACCCAGGGGGAAAGGCCCCGTATTGACACCAACAAGCGGGAGTTCTGGAGGCGTGAGCAAACGTCGGGTTAAAGGAAAGGATCCCGACTCATTGCACACAGCTTCGTTGTGTGTGTGTCAGCCCCCGGGAACTGGATGGTTAGGGGAAGGAGGGACACACGCTTCCCTTCTAGGCAGTTTACACGGGGGCGGCAGAGGCGCCTGGGGGGGGGGAGAGGGCGCATCCCCGTGTAACACCCCGCCCCCAAACTCCGGGGCAGATCTCGGGGAGAGAGGGGGGTGGTTCCTCCCTAGCTCGCTGCCCTCCAGCTCCCGGGCAGCCCGCTCCTACCTTCTCCCCTCTGCTCAGCACCTGGCAGGGCCACCCCTCCACCGACCCGAACAGGGAGTTCCTGATCATCCCAAACATGCTGCCGACGCTGTCCCCTCCGCGCCGCAGCTGCAGCTACTCCACCCCCCTGGGAGGCCCCGCCCCGGCAGCAGTCACTTGCCTCCCCCCTCCTTTGCTGGTGTGGGTGGGGACTGGGGAGGCTGGTGCGCGCGGGGCGGGGGGGGGCACCTGACGAATCAGAGCAGAGGTGCCCTTCAGGGGCGGGTTGTCGCCCCCAGCTTCCACTCTTGGGCTTCCGCGGGGGCGACCCTCAGAGGGGAGCGGGCTGATCATGGGCTCGTGCACACGTGTGCAGAGATGCTTGACCCACGTGCCTTGGATTTTTGGCACACCCTTTGGCACCGAAAAGGACATATCCGGACATTTAGGCACGTGCATGCGGCTTCTGAGCCTAGGGTCTCTGTCTCCTGCACTTTCAGCCAGTGTGTGCCCGCCATCTGGAGGCACATCATCCTTCTCCCATCACCACCTCGGTGGCGTAGTCTGGTGGCTAACTTGTAGGACAGGCAATTAGAAGAGCTATTGCTAGCTCTGCCACAGACTTTCCATTGTGGCCTCGGGCAAGTCACTTAAGCCCAGATCCTTCAAGGTGTTTAGGTGCCTAACTCTTATTGACTTCAATGACAGGTGCTTACACATCTTTGAAGATCTGGGCCGTCAACTCTCTGTACCACATTCCCCCGTATCAGTAGCACTGGACTACAGGGTAATATCTGCTCCACAATTATTTCTGTTTGTGTTTTGAGATCCTCAGGGGCTTGATGCATGTAAAGGAGTGGCTTGTACAAGGATGCAAATAGTTGAGCTATAGATTTTAATAATAAATTATAGGAAGGATTATAATGAGTGGAATCAGAGTTTGGAACTGGGAAAAACTGATGCCTCTGAGGATGAAGCAATGGAACAAATTGAGAAACTCTGGCATAATAAAGCACAAGATCAGATGGTATTCGTCCAGGGATGTGGAGGAGGATCTGAAGGAAATAGCAGGTGAAATACCGGAAATACTGACAAGGATATGTAATATACAGTATATGCTGAAGAAAGGTAAGTGGTCCTTAAGACTGGAAAATCATGAAGACAATGCTCATTTTAGAATGAAAGAAGCCAAGGGGATGCTGGGAATTACAGTTTCTTTCTTTCAAAGTTAATAAATGTTAGCTAAAGCCCTATCATTTATTTGGGTTTTCCAAAATCTTTCAATAATGCAATAGATTTTTAAGGGTGCACATGGAAGTCAGGGTGGTTAAACACTGGAATAAACTGCCTAGGGAGTTTGTGGAATCTCCATCTCTGGAGATATTTAAGAGTAGGTTAGATAAATGTCTATCAGGGATGGTCTAGACAGTATTTGGTCCTGCCATGAGGGCAGGGAACTGGACTCGATGATCTCTCGAGGTCCCTTCCAGTCCTTGAATCTATGAAGTTAGGTGCCCATCTCCCAATGACATTAAGGGCATTTGAGTGCCTAACAATTTTAACTCCTTTCAAAATGCCAGACTGTCTTTCTAGATACTTATATGGTCCCCCTCATCTTGTTATCTGAGTGTCTCATGGTCATTAATGAAATGTATTCTTCCAACACACTTGTAAAGAAGTATAGCCCATTTTACAGGTGGGGAACTGAGGCACAGTGTAGATTAAGTGATTTACCTGAGATCACTTAGAAAGTTAGGGTGGACATGGAATCCACAGAAGGGACTTAGGAACTGTGACATTGAGCATCACAACACCTAACTTAGATGCCTAGTAACTAGGGCTGTCAAGCGATTAAAAAAATTAATTGTGATTAATCACACGGTTAACCAATAATAGAATACCATTTACTTAAATGTTTTTGGATATTTTCTACATTTTCAAATGTATTGATTTCAATTACAACACAGAATACAAAGCATACAGTGATCACTTTATATTTATTTTTTATTACAAATATTTGCACTGTAAAAAACAAAAGAAATAGTATATTTCAATTCACCTAATATAAGTACTATAGTACAATCTCTTTATAATGAAAGTTGAATTTACAAATGTAGAATTATGTACAAAAAATAACTGCATTCAGAAATAAAACAACATAAAACGTTAAAAACTACAAGTCCATTCAGTCCTACTTCAGCCAATTGATCAGACAAACAAGTTTGGTTAAAATTTGCAGGAGATAATGCTGCCCACGTCTTGTTTACAATGTCACCTGAAAGTGAGAGATGCACTAAAGATTGACATGTCCCTTCATGCTTCAACCACCATTCCAGAATACATGCGTCCATGCTGATGACGGGTTCTGCTCGATAACGATCCAAAGCAGAGCAGACAGATGCATGTTCATTTTCATCATCTGAGTCAGATGCCACCAGCAGATGGTTGATTTGTTTTTTTTGTGGTTCGGATTGTGTAGTTTCTGTATCAGAGTATTGCTTTTTTAGGACATCTGAAAGCATCCCCCACACCTCATCCCTCTCAAATTTTGGAAGGCACTTCAGATTCTTAAACCTTGAGTCGAATACTATATCTATCCTTAGAAATCTCACATTGGTACCTTCTTTGCGTTTTGTCAAATCTGCTGTGAAAGTGTTCTTAAAACAAGCATGTGCTGGGTTATCATCTGAGATTGTTATAACATAAAATATATGGCAGAATGCGGGTAAAACAGAATAGAAGACATACAATTCTCCCCCAAGGAGTTCAGTCACAAATTTAATTAACGCTTTATTTTTTCAGTGAGCATCAGCATGGAAGCATGTCCTCTGGAGTGGTGGCCAAAGCATGAAAGGGCGTATGAATGTTTAGCATATCTGGCACGTAAATACCTTGCAATGCCAACTACAAAAGTGCCATGCAAACACTTGTTCTCACTTTCAAGTGACATTGTAAATAAGAATCAGTCAGCAGTATCTCCCGTAAATGTAAACAAACTTGTTTGTCTTAGCAATTGACTGAACAAGAAGTAGGACTGAGTAGACTCGTAAGCTCTAAAGTTTTACATTGTTTTGTTTTTGAGTGCAGCTATGTAACA